TAATAATTGTATTAACAATGACGAGGACAATCGTTCGAATAATGTAAATAGTGTATATAATAACTCATTTCAGGAATATAGACAGATACTGAAGGGCCGAAACGGTGTAATAAATATGGCGACAAAGATGAGGACAATAGTCCGAATAATGTAAATGGTGACATAATACCTCATCTCAGAAATATAGACAGATACTGAAGGTGCGAAACGTTATAATAATTATATTAACAAAGATGAAGACAATAGTCCGAATAATGTAAATAGTGTACATAATACCTCATTTCAGAAATATAGACAGATACGGAAGGGCCGAAACGTTGTAAAAAATATAGTAACAAAGATAATGACAACAGTCCGAATAATTTAATAGTGTACATATTACCTCATCTCAGAATATATAGACAGATACTTAAAGGCCGAAAAGTTGTAATAAATATGGCAACAAAGATGAGGACAATAGTCTGAATAATGTAAATAGTTTACATAATACTTCATCTCAGAAATATAGACATATTCTGAAAGCCTGGAACGTTGTAATAAATAGGGCAACAAAGATTAGGACAATAGTTGGAAGTAATGTAAATAGTGTACATAATACCTCATCTCAGAAATATAGACAGATACTGAACGGTCTAAACGTTGTAATAAATATGGCGACAAAGATGCGGACAATAGTCCGAATAATGTAAATAGTGTACATAATACCTCATCTCAGAAATATAGACAGATACTGGAAAGCCGAAACGTTGTAATAAATATGGCGTTAAAGATGAGGACAATAGTCCGAATAATGTAAATAGTGTACATAATACCTCATCTCAGAAATATAGACAGATACTGAAAGGCCGAAACGTTGTAATGAGTATGGCGACAAAGATGAGGACAATAGTCCGAATAATGTAAATAGTGTACATATTACCTCATCTCAGAAATATAGACAGATACTGAAAGGCCGAAACGTTGTAATAAATATGACAAAAAAATTGAGGAGAATAGTCGGAATAATGAAAATAGTGTACATAATACATCCTCTCAGAAATATAGACAGATACTGAAAGGCCGACACGTTGTAATAAATATGGCGACAAAGATGAGGACAATAGTCCGAATAATGTAAATTGTGTGCATAATACCTCATCTCAGAAATATAGACAGATACTGAAAGGCCGAAACGTTGTAATGAGTATGGCGACAAAGATGAGGACAATAGTCCGAATAATGTAAATAGTATCCATAATGCCTCATCTCAGAAATATAGACAGTTCTTTATTTTTGTTAAGGATTTTTTCGTTGGACGATAATTTACTAATTCTGATGAGAATTTTTTCGTTGCTGAGAATGGCATTGTTAGAAATAACATTAATATAATTGATGGTTTCATTCTCTTTATGGTAACGTTAAAAGGTTTTATCATTAAGGTTAAGGATGATGTCTGGGTAATTAACTATTTTAAGGTTAGAAGAAATCTCAGTCTTAAACGACAGTCATTTAAAGGTTCTAATGATATTCTTTTGTAACTTCGCCGTCAGCGGACATTACTGTTGGGAATGAAGATTAGTCCATCATCTATATATAGGCCAATTAGTTCCGGATCTACGATTCTACTAAGCATATCTAATATATAAAAACATGATAAATCAGCAACCTGGGCTGAATCAAACGTTCCCATGGGGACATCAAAATAATCATTAAGGTACTTAGTTCAGGTGGAATTATAAGTGTTAGCAGTAATTTTCTAGCAGTTAAGATGATTCATCATCCGTTATCTCCATATAGTTCTTGGCAAAGATAATACTGTTAACTAAGAAATCTCTGGAGATAGAGGAATAAAAATCTATTATATGAAACTTAATAAATGTCGCTGTGTCCTTATTACTTATATTGGCGAACCATTTGATAATGTCTGACGAATCTTTCCAAAGATTAGCACAGGTTGTGTTTGTTGTTTATCGGTTGCTTTTTTAATTATATGATATTTTTTTAGATTAGACCTAGTTTAGTTTTAGTTGTATTTAATTAGTCTAGACTGTGCACTAGTAGCGAAGTTTGGTTTGTGGGCCTTAAAAAATATAAGCTTGTTTAGTTTGGATCTTTTCCACTATATGCAATATTTAAATTTTTAGCAATCTTGGTAGTCAATTTTATACAATTTTTCATGCGATCTAATAATTTTTTTTCAGATGATAAATTATATAAAAACTGTGCGAATGTTCTTTTTACCCGAGCGGTTTCGGCTATACATTTAGCCATTTTCAAGGATTATATTTTAACTGTTAAAATAAGAAGCAGTTTGTTGTATGTATGTTTTACAAAAATACACGGTTATAAAATATATATATATATATATATATATATATATATATATATATATATATATATATATATATATATATATATATATATATATATATATATATATATATATATGGTATGTTGTACGTTATTTTATACATACAATTTATTTGAATAAATTCTTTGCTTTTAATTAAACAATACATTT